TGGTTTAGAAACGATCAAATTGAGTAAGATATGAAGTTGATAGATAAAATCTTACGCTTGGGCTCTAACTCTTGATGTGGTAAAATCTCGTCTAGTCTCACACCTACCTGAGATGATTCTCTCTCCTTACGCTTGATGTCACTTCCTTGACACCCAATGCCAATCTAACCCAAGACAATTCTCTCACCTCACATTTGATGCCATTTAAATCTTGCCTAACATGGTTTCAACTTGAGACAATTCTCTCTCTTAAAGTTCGACGCCGACAATCCTACATCCATCGTGAGCAAGATAGAGGTCCCTTATTGAAGTTGCGTTAAATGCCTTGAAGGTGCGCTTAACGCGATGTGAATTTTTCTCTTTGGCGAATTCACAAACTTGCCCAATCTCATATGAAAACCAAGAAATCCATGCATGCGATAAAATATTATGCATATATATAACATATTCCACTCAATTCTTAGCCAAATATTAACATGCAACCATAATCCATCATAATCATCCATGTTCATCTCCAACATGCTTCATAATCAACAACTTAATTTTCCACTCATTCAATTCAGTATAACCATCTTAATACAATTATAAGTGAAAGACAAACAACATGCAATTGCATTCACCCGATCAAAATATGTTCTAACTTCCCTTACCTATAAAAATCTCCAAATTGAGAAGAAGAGGAAGAAGGAAGAAAACAAACTCCGAGACAACATCGAAGCTCTGTGTCAACATAACTTCGATTCTCAACCTCAAGCACTTTGAATCACTACTCCAAGGATCAATAATAGCCTCCTCAGCCTTTGAAGAATCTAGAAAAAAGAAAAGAAAAGAAAAATCGTAACTCCTAAAACACTTTTTTTTAGTTTATCTCTCTATAAAACATAAGAATCAACTTATGAGGTTCATTTCTCAAAAGAATCCTTATATACTTTTTTCCTTAGGGTCGAATTAGACCTTTACTTAAAGAAACCTTCTAAAAAACCAAAACAACATACACCACATAATTAACTCAACTCACAATTATTGATAAACATAATAATTGTCAATATACAATGTTACAATTTATCTCTTTTTCCTTTTTCTTATTTTTCTCATATATATTCTTTTCAATATTGATGTATAACTTATCAATATTTATTTTTTAACTAATAAATATTTTTTTAAATTATTAAATATTATTTAATGTTAAAATTTAAAAATTATTAAAATTTAACTAATGCTTTTCTTCAATAAATTTTAATGTTGAAATTTCATAGTTTTTAAATAAATATTACAAAATAATTTTTGTATACAGGAAAAATCAAGTATTTAAGAAATTCAAATTAAATTACCCAATAAAACAATTAAAATTTTAAGCATCTCAACTTTTAAGTTTTTACATATAAACTAAACTTAAGAGAAATTTTTAAATTGTTTATAAAATTAGTATGTGAAATATATCTTCAAAAGAAAAAATAGAACCTCGAGTGTGTGATTATGAAGGTGAAAGTTTTACTATTTAAGTTATATGCAACATCAACTTGAATATAATTAAATTAGTTTTGCACGTAATTTTAAAGAAAAAATAAAAAATCATTAGACCAAATAGGTTTGATACTTTTCTAGCCTAATTGTTATTGGTCCAACCCAGGTTTAACTGGTTCATTGGATTCAGACAAATTGGTTTTATCTTTTTTGGACCGTAAAATAAAGAGTCAAACCTAACTTGACTTAATAGGCCATTGAATTAGGTCATCATGCCACATCAATTTTGTCAATTTTACCAACTAATGATTAACATAAATTTGAACATACAATGACATAAATGAAAAAAAATATCAATGTACGAAAGACTATACACAAAATTTTTTTACTTAAAAGACATGAAGTTAGATTCAATTGTTTATTAAAAGATTATATTGATTTTATTTTTCTTTGTTCAAAGTTTATTATTTATGTTAACTTTTTTTATTAATTGTGTTATTTTTTAAAAAGTTCATATTCCCTTTTTAAATCTTATAAGTTTTTATAATATAAATTTATATTACAAAACATTGATTATAAAAGTCCTTTTTAAAAATATTAAAATCATTACATTCCAACAAAGTTTTTGATTTTTTTATAGTTATTAAATTTCTACATAATATTTTAAAATCTATAAGACATTTTTTTATTAAAATAGTCTTATAAAATCTCAATCCAAAACATTTTCTAAAAGTTTGTCAAATTTTAGTTGTGTTTTTTCTATTTAATTTTAATTGCATTAATTACAATATTTGATTTACATTTATAAATTTATCAAAGTTAAAAATTTTCAATCAAATTATTAGTATATAAAAATATATTTTTTTTCCAAAAAAAAAAATAAATCTTTGATATATATATATATGATTCGTGTCGATGTGAGAACTTTATTAATAGGTAATCTATAAGTATTTTTATAAATACTCATAGAGCATTGAGACTTATCTTGACATTGATAAACCTTTAGAATCCAACTCATTTAAATTTTTATAAATAAAAAATGCTGAGTTAAAGAAACTCAAACAATAATTTTTCTATTACAAAATGAATCATAAACAAATTTGATTTCATATTAATTATGGAATTCAAACAAATAATAATTAAAAAAATAATTTAAATTATAAACTTATCACAATTCATTTATACATTATTAATATTACCTTGACCCTAATTATAACCAACATAAAATAAATTATTAAAATAAAAAATAATTAATATAATTATTTTAATTAATTATATTATGAATTTATATTTAATTTTAAATATAATATTTACTTTAAGTGGTTATCATATTTAATATTAATTATAAGTAAATGTATAGAAAATAAAGTTAATAATGAATCAAGAGTATAAAAGAAATTTAACCTTGAGTACTTTAAAAATTAATAATTATTACTTATAATTATTGGTTGCAATTAAGGCCAAAAGTAGTATTAATTAAATTAATTATATTAATAAATTATGATTTGTTAATATATATATAAAAAGCAGTAAGAATCTCAAATGATATCTGGATATATAAAATAAAAATAATTAATATTTAAGATGAATTTTTATTTTATATTATTTATAAAAAATTGTCAGATAAAAACTTGAAATTTTACTTTATTCAATTTATTGACATTACTAAAATATGATTAAAAATAAATATAATAAATATTTAAGTAAAAGCCGCATGTAGTTTATTTAATTTGCATGGTTAATTTCCAAAATTGTTAATTTTTAATTCGAAATTAAAAGATAAAAGCATCCTTACAAACATCTAATTATCAATATGTCAATAAAAAATTCTAAAAGAACAAAATATAAAATTTTAATTAATAAAGATGAAATCTAAATATTGCTTTGATTTTTACTTGAATGAGCAAGTTTTATCACTTTTTTTCCTTAATCCATAAAGATAGTGTCAAACATAGATGAGATATAGTTAAAAAAAATATAACAAGCAAAAAGTAAAAAAATAAAATAATGTACAAATAAGATTGAAAATATCAAACTCTTTATGGGTACTTTTGTTTAATTTTTTTTTTCTTATAAAAATATTTTTTAAATAAAATAAGTACTTTTTACTTTTTTTATATGTTTATCTATTTTTTAAATAATAATTTTTTCTTTTTTACCTTTTTAAAGAAGCAATTCTTATTTTTCTTAAAAAATTATTTTTTAAAGTACTTGTTTAGAAATGCTTATTTTTTTAATTTAAACGAATAGACACTATATATTAATATTAATTAAGAACAAAACACGAAAATTTTAATATAATTTAATAAATGAATCAAAAAAATTAAATATTACCAAAAAATTCAAAAGAAAAATAAAAATAATTTTTTTTTTACTTTTACTATCGTCAACAAAATAATGTGTTTTTATTTGACAACACAAAAAAAAATGTTTTAAACACAACTAATAAAAGATATCATAAAACACATAACTTTTAAATTAATAATTGAAAAATACAATTAAAAAATAAGAAATTACAAATAAAAAAGTTGAAAATAATGACATAAACATTATTTATATTTTAGAAAAATAGACGAATAAAAGAATGAGAAAAACGGCGATAGACCGAGATTTAATATCTTTTAGTGTTACATTATGTTGCCTTAAACAAATTAAAAAAGGAAATGTAGAAGATTAACATATGATTGATCTTCAATTTTGTTTTGTTAATATATTTCATAAGGTTATTCTTATTTTTCAAATCATTATTTTTTAAAATATAATTTATTTAGACATTTATAATTTACATATATATATATATAATTACCTTATTTATATAAAATAATAGATACATTACTTAATTACTTTATGTCCCTAAAAAATAGTCTATATATCTTAATTAAAAATATTATTTGTTACTTTAATTATATTAATATTTTAAAACTAACTATATCAGTACTATACTAACTTAAATTAAACATATAAATAAAAAATAATACTAACAAAATGTCAGGATTTATATTCTTTAAAAAAATTATAATAATTAAAACTAGACATAGTTACAACATATTAAACTTTTTTTTTGACTGCAAAACATATTTAAATTTATTATTTATTATTTAAACAAATACATTTGATTATTAAAAATAAATATTAGAAAAAAACAACATATGATAAGTAATGAAAAGTTTGATTTATTAAAAGTATAGATAATGATAACGAAGGCTAACTAATTCACCTGAGACCTGACAGAGACTTTCTAACAAAGAATCAAGCTACGATCAAATAAAACAAAGAATCGATCTAATTCTCGTATTTCATAACATAATCCTGTCCGAATTCTTAATTCTTAAATCTTAAATCCCGTGTCACCAAAAATAAAAATGGCAGACCCACTCGTAATTCACGCCATCGCAGAGGGGCACTATGGGAATTTCAGCGCAACAAACAGACGTTGTATTTAAGTTAATGTTTACCACCACCGATTTTATTTTTACATGAGTTAATAATTTGATTATTTACCTTAATGCAATAGTAATAATAACGAGAAATAAACTTAGAGCAGAAGAGAAAGATGGTGGAAGAAAGCAGCGAGAGAAGAAAAGAAGAAGAACCAAAGAGACGAAGGGCTTAACCTCTTCTTCAAAAGTTTTGGTGTTGTCGAAGGGTTTAAGCTTTTCAATTCAATTCAATTCAATTCAATTTCATCACTGTATAATATCTATATACTTCCAGTAATACGTCGTCGTAGATTTTCACTAGTGTACCGATTCCTACTTCATTCTCAATTGCGAAGATCTTTCGATTTTCTCACTGGAGCTGTAACGCCGCGAGCTAGATCCGGAACCGCCGCGAGATTTTCGATCCGATCAAGCTATAGCAAATGGTATGAATTTCTCGCTCTGCTGTTTTTTCTTCTTCTTTGGTCACCGTCGAGTCAATTCCAAGTCACGTGTTGTGTTGTTCCGTTAGTGAAACTTATCTTTGCCGGAGATTTTTGCTTTTTTTTAGGTGTGTGTGTTTTTATTTTTATTTTTAATTTGTTTTTTATTTAATTTCATTTTATGTATTTATTGTTTTGGGAGCTGATCTGTTATTACATAGAAGCAGAATTGGGGTTTTTCGTCTGTCTGAGAATTGGTTTATTTGATTGTTTTTTATGTCTCTGTTCCGGTAATGCACAACCGTTTTGTTATTACTGAGCGACATTATCGGAGTCCGATTATGGTGGATGGTGTTTTTTTGCTATTTGACTAAGATGTTAGAAGAAACAGGGAGTTCAAATTTTCGCCGCATCATTTCTGAGATTATTAGCATTAATATTTTTTTATGTCTTTTATTTGTTTTGAGCCATAATATTTGCACACCTAAGGTTTACAAACACCCAACTGATACTTCTTATTTCTCTCTATTTTTTTTTTCATTTTATATCATCAATCATATTAATCATTTATCTCTTCTTTCTTCCTATCTGGAGCTGCCTACACCTCAAAGGAGTCCAAAAATATTTTTCCTTTTCTATTTTTGGAGGGGACGGGAGATAAATTGGTTTAATCATTTATCTGTTTATTTATCAAAAAGGTTGGTGATTAGTTTTGGTCTTGCATGGGTTGTGTTTTACCCTAATCTAAACTTTTTCTTAACACAAAAAAATGTGACTGAGCTGGATAAAAACCTATAGGTCTGTTTCTTGAAATGGGAACCTTAGGCTATGGACCACTGATTACAACTTCATAAATTTGTTGCGGTTGTGTTGTTGCATCACTGATTGACTAAGATGAATTTTCAAAGCAAAGAACTTGTCTTTTTTTTTTTTGGCATTTGAATTTGGTTCTGAATTATAGTGGAGCAGTATGCAATTTTTTTCCCGTGACTGGTAATTATTTGAAAATGCTAGTGCTGAACTTCAGGGTGACATACATATTTAATGGGGGTATGCGAATTTTATGTGTTTGAGGCGGACAGATTTAATGGGTAACGTACTTAATGGGTATATGTGGGACTTAATCGCTTATTTATCTCCTCTTGGTCAGAATTTTCTATGTGATATATCTTTTTTAAAGTAATAGTTTTTATTGATGGTGGTATAGTCTTTGCATATTTCCATTGCTTAGTTTGGGTGTTTTTCTATAGGTTTGTCTTGTTCAAATTAATATAATTTTGAGTAAATGACCATTTTGGTCTTTCGATTATATTTGTGTCAATATGTTGTCCCTTCATTTATGATAACATCAAATTGATCCTTAGTGTGACATCAAATTTGTTCTTGAAAGAAAAAATTAATGGCATTTAATTTTCACCGGAGGACCAATGTATTGTCATGTATATCTTTGGAGACCAAAATGGAGTAATGGAAATTTTCTCTATTATTTATTTATAATTGATGTTGCTTCCATTATTTTTGTGAATCTTAACTAGTCTATGAATCGCTAAGTTTTGTGGATTCTATTTTACTCATTTCTTCTTTACATTATGGTTACCAGGGTGGACTTAAGTACCGGATGTTCTCATATTTTGTCTTCTAATTCTTGTTGCCACCAGCTTTTCATTCCATAATTGTAACTTAAGGAAAATTTTTGTCGGGGGATTTTTGAGTTTTCTCCTTCATTGAATTAATTATTATACACGAAGAAGATTGATAATTAATATTTCAACAGAAGCCATTTTACGATGGGAAATATATAGCATCCAGATTAGTTAAGATCTATGTTGCATAGATATGGATATAGCATCGGGTACAGATAGGGTATGGGATACAAGAATTTTTAAAAATCTAGGATACAGGTAGATTAATATAAAATAAGAAAAATATACTTATATAGTTATATACTTGTATAAGAAAATAGAATTTTATATAAACATAACCAAATTGTATAAATGATTAAAGAACACAAGTAAGGATAACTTATAACAACATAAGGAGATCAAATTCTTCAAGGATGATTGTGAAAGGAGTTTCAATGCAAGGGATTGAAGTTTGGGGACTGTTGTACCATACATGACTAGTGACCCGGCATTCCGTCTGTCTGAGAA